AATTGCTCAGGACTTCAAAACAGATCTGCGCTTCCAGAGCGCAGCTATGGGTGCTTTGCAGGAGGCAAGTGAGGCTTATCTGGTAGACCTTTTTGAAGACACCAACCTATGTGCTATCCATGCCAAACGTGCAACAATTATGCCAAAAGACATCCAGCTAGCACACCACATACGTGGAGAACATGCTTATGAATCCACTATGATGGGAAACATTTTATCCTCAGAAAAAAATTCCCTTCTTCCTGTTATTGGTAGTTCTGAACCTTAGATATTTTTCTTTCTCATGGGGTTAAAAGGTACCTAGGTATATGATTTCGAGTGGAAAAATAGGGAACAGAAATCAGGTTTTGGCAGTTTTTCTGTTTTCATTTGTGTGTGAATTTTTAATATAAATGCAGAGACGTAAAGCATTAATGTACGTTAAAATGTTTCAGTGAACAAGTTTCAGCGGTTCAACTTTATAATAATCATACATAACCTGTTAAAGTTTTCTGGACAATGCCAGCTTTTGTATTTTTTTAAAACAAGTATATTTCTTATTGACAGCAACTAACTGGCGTTTGTAGCATTTTTACCATATAGTACATTCCATCCATCCACTATACTTTTCTGAGTTTTCCTACATGCAAGTACATGCTTTTAATGTTGTCTGTCTTCCGTGCTGTTCCTGTAAGTTTGCTATTAAAATACATTAAACTATAAAAAAAGAAAGATAGGAAGTTTAAATTGGTAACAGACAGAGGTTAAAGAACAAAGAAACTGTTGGGAAGCAGAGAAGGGGTTAGGAGAGAAGGGAGGGTGTGGAAATAGAGTACAGCATCTTTTTGGCTGCCTCTCTACATCTCGTGAGGCCAGAACTAGCATGCTTATAAGGTTGAGTCCCAGCTTTCTAGGGAATTCAGCTTGCAACAAATGTAATAATAACTAACCTACATCTAGTGCTTACTTTGTGCCAGGCACTCTTTTAAGTGCTTTACATGTATTAACTAATTTAATCCTCACCAAAAATCCAATTTTACATGTTAGAAGATTGTAGCAGAGAGAGGCTATGATTTTCATTTTACAGATGAGGAAACTGAGGCACAGAGAAGTTAAGTAGTTTATCCAAGGTCAAGCTAACAAATGGTGGAGTTGGAGTTTAAATTTAGGATTCTGCTTCCAGAGCTGTATTCTCACCCCCCATGATATAGAGTTAACCCTTGAACAACATGAGTTTGAACTACATGGGTTCACTTATACGCAGATATTTTTCCATAAATATATTAGAACATATTTGGAGATTTTGACAATTGATAAAAACTTGCAGATGAACTGTATAGCCTAGAAATATCAAACAACTTAAGAAACAGTTATATATGTTGTGAATGCATCAATATACTTACACACTAGTCTATATTATTTTCTACCATAAAATCTATTGCAAAAAGTTAAAATTTATCAAAATTTACACACACACAGACTATACATGGTACCATTCACAGTCAAGGGAAATGTAAACAAATGTAAAGATGCAGTATTAAATCATAACTGCATAAAGTTATGTACCCACCTCCTGTTGCCATGGTGGTGAGCTCAAGTGTTGAGAGTATCTGCTTAAAATGCCACCATGTGATGCTAATCATCTCCCCTTGAGTGGTCTGCTTTACCAATGAATTGCATATGGAGATAATAAAAATTGATCTCTCCTGAGGCTGCAGTGAGCCGTGATCGTGTCACTGCATTTCAGCTTGAGCAAAAGAGTGAGATTCTGGCTCAAAAAAGAAAAAAACAAAGCCATCTCCGGTAGTTCTCCTGTACGTTTCACCGTGTACGTTTCATTGCGTTTAGTGCAATATTGTAAACTATGAATAACACTGTGGAACTCATATGAAGTGCCACTACTGCTGCCAGAAGTGCTCCTAAAAAGCAAAGTCCTGACATTCCAACAAAAAGTTGAATTGCTTAATATGTATCATAGATTGAGATCTGCAGCTGTGGTTACCGGCCATTTCAGACTGACAATGTAAACGTAGAGTATTAATAAATACAGTACAATATTGTAAATGTATTTTATGTTTTTAAATCATTTTTTCTGAGGCAGGGTCCTGATCTGTCACCCAGGCTGGCTGGAGTTCAGTGACGCCGTTATGGCTCAAGCAATCCTCCCACCTCAGCCTTCTGAGTAGCTAGGACCACAGGTGCACGCACCATCCTGGCTAATTTTTGTATTTTTTGTAGAGACGAAGTTTCAGCATGTTGCCCAGGCTGGTCTTGAATTCCTGGGCTCAAACAATCCTCCCTCCTCGGCCTCCCAAAGTGCTGGGATTACAGGTATGAGCCACCGCACCTGGCCTTAAAAATCATTTTCTTTTCTGTAGCTTACTTTATTGTAGGAATGCAGTATATAAAACATAGGACATACAAAATATGTTAATTGATTGTTATCCATAAGACTTCTAGTCAACAGTGGGCTATTAGTATAGTCATCCCTCCTCTCTGTATACATGAGAGATTGATTCCAGGACCTACTGCAGATACCAAAACCTGTACATATTCAAGTCGCGTACAGTCTGTTTTTCAAAACCTGCACATACAAAAAGTCAGTCCTCTGTGTAAGTGGGTTCTGCATCCTGTGAATATTGTATTTTTGATCCATGTTTAGTTGAAAAAAAATCCATGTTTAAATGGGCTCGTGAAGTTCAAACTCATGTTGTTCAAGGTTCAATGTAATTAAGTTTGGAGTCAAGTTATGCCAAATATTGACTGCATGAGGGATGGGGTGAGGTTAGCACCCCAACCCCCATGTTGTTCAAGGGTCAACTGTATTGCCTTTTCCAATATGTTGTAAGGATAAGTAGTGTTTCAGAAAAGATTTATTTCAAGATATACATGTGTGTGTGCTTGTGTTTGTAATGAGTAACAATGTAAAATGTATTTATTTTTGTAAGTCACAGACAAAAGTGTCTAAAAGCACTACTGCTCTAGCAATAGCATTGCTGAATTGTTTATCTTCAGCCTTAATGGAGATAATGCCAGGTTGCTCTCCAAAATGATCATACCAAATCAGTCTCAACAGCAGTGTGAGATGTTCCATATCTCTCTGTATAGATATTCTATATATTGTACCTATGTTCCATACCCTCACCTGAACTTAATAGTGTCAGACTTTTCATGTGCTATCAATCCAGTGGGTGTTGAATAGTATCTTAATGCGGTTTTCAGTTGAGTTTTTTAGATTTCTAATACATCTTTTCATGCATTTGACCACTTAAATTTTGCTTATTGTGAGTCATCTGTTTATATCCCTTACTTGTATATTATGCAATTCAACCCTCACAACAACTCTCTGAAGGCGCCAGCAATATAGATGAAGAAACTAAATCCGGGAGAAATCTTGCTTAAAGTAACCCAGCTAATGAGTTTTGAGCTGAAATTTGAGTCCAGATGTAGAGAACCCCTAAGCCTATGCCTTTTGTTTTACACTACATGCCAGGGCCCAAGGTCATGTTAGAAAAAAAAAAACACAAAAAAACAGAGGAAGAAAACAAATAAATTTGAACATGCAACCATTAGCAACCATGTCTTGTGTCAAACTAGGCTTTGTGCAATTAACATAGATTATTTCCCTGTGTCCTCACAACAACCTGTGAGGTAAAACATGTTATGTCCATTCTACAGGTGAGAAAACTAAGGTGTAGAGAAATGAAGAAATTTGCCTTGGAAGGGTTAAATTACAGCTAGAAATTTGCCTTGAAAATGTTAAATTATAGCTAGGGACAGAATCGCAATTCAAACATGAATCTCAACTCAAACACAAGCACAGACCTCAATCACAGAAACTCAAATAGATCTGCCTGATTACAAAGTCCATCCCTGTTCCACAATGTTGTCTATCCATAAATATTCCTGATGTAAGGTAAAGGCCTCCTGCAAATCAAGCCTGACTCATCATCTCGTAGAGCCAGATCTTGACCTGCTTCCCCACTTTCTCTCCAGATCCCCATCTGTTTCTACTTCGATGAGGCCAGGACTATACCTACTATCTTTCTGCAGAATCCTGGTCTGAGGTAGCCTTAAATCGGGCCCAGCCCTGCTGCTTCACATTAGCCATCTGAGCTAGGTTAACTCCCATTCATTGATTGCTCTTCTACTTCCTCAGGCTTCTCTAATGAAGCCCAATCAGGGTCTCAACACCTTCCATGCTAAACCAGAAAATTATAAGCAGAGTCCTTAAACGTGGCTGCACATTAAAATCACTTGTGAACTTAAAAAAAATCCTCATGCGCTAGTTAGAACCCAGATCCATTACATCAGAATGGTACCCAGGCATTAACAATAGTTAAAGCTTCCCAGATGATTCTAATCTACAGCCAAGATTGAGAACCACTGTTACAGCATCTTCTTCAAGCTCCAGCAGCCATACCCAGCAGCTTCCACATTTTAGGTTTTCAAAGGAACTTCTTGGAGCATTGTAAAGACCCAGATTTCTGGACACCACCCTGGAGAATCCATGTTTGGGTTCAGACCCAGGAGTCTACATTCTTAATAATCACCCCAGATAGTTTCACTGCGGATTATTAGCAGACCATATTTTGGAAAATGCTGCATTAGAGGCATGGAAGTAGGATGGGTACAGGAGGCCTCTGGCCCTTTAAGGGTAGATTAAGGGACTACTTTTAAGGCCGCGGGGCGAAGTAGGGTCAGGCTGCTTTTTTTCATTCTAGTGGATAAGTTAAGGAAGTGGGGCCTGAAATGGACCTCTCCTTTTAGTTACCTCAGCCTCTCAATTGGTACTATCTTGTTCTCAGCCCAGGAGAGCGGGAGGGGCATGCTGCCTTGTTCTACCTTCTGTTTGTTTTGATGCAAAGAGGCCAAGTTATAAGGCATTCTTTGGCCCCCGAGATCCTCTTAGAGAAAGCAATATAGGGCCTGCCTGCCTTTCTTTTTCGTGCCCCATCCTTGGTTGTGGAGCCAGGATGCAGTTAACTGCATGAAAGGAAACGGTCAGAGTGACATCCCTTGGACTTGTGTTGGGACCTGTCATTGAACACCAAGCCTTTCAAGATGGTCCTCCTCAGTATTCTTAGAATTCTTTTTCTTTGGGAACTGGTGCTTTTCATGGAACACAGGACCCAAATGGCAGAAGGAGGGCAGTCCTCTATTGCCCTCCCAGCTGAGGCCCCTACCTTGCCCCTGATTCAGGAGCTGCTAGAAGAATCCCCTGCTGAGCAGCCAAGGAAGCCCCGTCTCCTAGGACATTCACTGCGGTACATGCTGGAGTTGTACCAGCGTTCAGCTGACTCTCATGGGCACCCTAGAGAGAACCGCACCATTGGGGCCACCATGGTGAGGCTGGTGAAGCCCTTGACCAATGTAGCAAAGCCTCGCAGAGGTGAGTTGTTATGACCCCATGCTGCCCTGGAGGGGAGAGAAGTGGAGAGAGTGTAGAGAGAAGGGAATTGGTGGGTTTGCGGCCTTACTGCCTTGTGGGCACGTTGTTTCTTTAGTCTTGGCTTTCAAAGGATAGTGAGGGAGAAGCCCGCACCAAGCCTACTTCCTTTAGAGCATCAACTTAAGAACAGATTGCTTTGGTGCCTACTGAGAAGTCTTTTCTGGGTCCCAGGACAACTGAATGATGTGTTAACACCTATCTTTCACAGAAACTTTTTGCTTGTGATAGTTCTGAAAGCTGTAATTCAGATATACCCAGCTATACTCTTGTGGAGGGCTATTCAAGTGGCGTTTTGCTCGTAGAAGGCATAGAGTACAGGATGCTGAGTTGGGGAAACTTATAAGGCCTCAGAAAGGACATAAATAAGCTAACATCTGAGGGTCTCCATACCTGGCTCTGTGAGCATCTGCTATTGTATTTAATTCTTAATGAAAGCTACTATCTCAGCTGTCTTGATGCAATTAGCCTGATTTTAAAGCTAACACATGGAGAGGTTAAGTAATTTGCAAATGTTACAGAGTGGGTCGCAGAGATGGGATTTCAGCTCAAGTCTGTCTGATTCTAAAGTCTGTCGGTAACTTCTTAAGTCTTTAAATGCAGTATTCCAATATCCTTGTACCCCCAGTGGTTTTTCTACTTGGGTCATATTGCTACTTTGGGATTCTGGTACTAAGTGTATTTTGGAACATTTTTTTGTTCCCATCACATTTGATTTTGCTTTTAACATTTGCATCAGACATTGTTCCAGGACAGCAGTGAGCTCTTGAAGTGTAGGACTCTCTAGAGAATGCAGACAGTCATCAACTTCAAGGAATTCTTTGGAACCTAATGAGATCAATCTGTGGTCTTCACTAGTCTCAAAGACAAAAAGAGACAGGACTTAACCCCTTCCCCAAGTAAAACAATAAACATTCTCGTACCTAACCCTTACTGTGAGCTTACTGTGTGCCAGGCATTGCACAAAATATTTTATACACATTATCTTAATCCTCACAACTACCAGATTAGGTAGGTAGTATTAACATACCTACTTGAGAGGTGAAGAAACTGAGGATCAGAGTCAGTTACTCAATGTCATACAACTAGTAATTGCTAGAGCCAGGTATTAAACCCAGGCTCTCAGGCCCAAAGCCTGTGTGTTAATCATCATGCTGTTCTGACTCTCCGTTGGATTTTAATTGAGTGCCAGGCAGTGTGTTTGGGTTGGGTATATAGAAGCAAAAAATTTCCTGACCTCTAGAAGCTCCCAGTATAGTGGAATGGATAATTACATAATATTACAGTATGCCAAGTGCTTTGGAAAGGATAAACAGTAGGGCTCCCAGGACCTATGAGAAGAAATGGCTCATTGCTTGAAGCCAGGATTGGGAAGCAAGGAGACTATTGGAAGGCCTCATGGAGGAGGTAGTACTTGAAATTGACCTGCAGAAGGAGCAAAGAGGCCATGAATTGAGGCAGATAAGTGTATTCTGATTTAGGAAAGAGAAAATGGTGTGGGTAAAAATTCATTGAACAAACATTTATTTGGCTCCTACTGAGTACTAGGCATACAGATGTCATCAAGATAGATAAAACCCCTACTCTCATGGAGCATGTGTTCTCATAGGGGAGACAAATAAGCACACACAGTTAAATCATGAATTGTGGTAAGTGCTATCAAAGGATGAAGTCGCTTGTTAAGATAGAGAATGGCAATGAAATCTTCCCTTTTCATGGAGTTGTCAGGGAATATATCTTTGAAAAGTGCCATTTGAGCTCAGGTCTATAAGATAAGCTAGGCATGGGAAGAGTAGGGAGAAGCCTGATTTAGGCAGAGGAACAACAGGTGCAAATGCCTAGAGGATGAAAACAAGTTTGTTCCAATTGAAGAACAGGGAAAATCAGTATGGCTGGACCCTCATGAGCATTGTGGGAAATGGCAGGATATGAGGCTGATGAGAAGCAGGGATTTGTAGGCTGTGATAAGGGATCTGGATCCTATTTGTAAGTGCAGCAGAAAGTTGCACAAAATCAAGCACTGTGGGAGGCCAAGACGGGAAGATCACTTGAGCCCAAGAGTCTGAGACCAGCCTAGGCAACATAGGGAGGCATGTCTCTACAAAAAATAAAAATACATTAGCTGGGTGTGGTGGTGCACACCTGTGGTCCCAGCTACTCAGGAGGCTGAGACCAGAGGATCATTTGAGCCTGGGAGGTTGAGACTGCAGTGAGCCATGATTGTGCCACTGCACTCCAGCCTGGGTGACAGTGAGACCCTGTCTCAACAGAAAAAAAGACCAACCTCACAAACGAAGAAAAAAATAAGTGTATACAGATGATGTGAGGCTAGAAAGGAGGATGCCTAGAATTAGGCAAGTATCTTGGTCTCACTGTGGAACATATTGGTATCTGGGGACTCTGGAAAGGATCCAGAGACAGATGACAAATTCAATCACACAGGATGTGTGAGTCAGCCCTTTCCCTGAAAAGCTCTGACCAGACCCTTCCTGGCTCTGATTCTTAGCAACCCTATCCTGCTTCAGGAAACATGTGATGTCAAGGTCTCAAAGGAAAGGGCAGTTCCTCCCCAGACAGCCTGCTAGAGTTTGGGTTGGGTTCCTTTATAGGCAGGGTGGAGCAGGTTTATGGGTGGGCCTCTAAGAAAGATTACTGTAAGAAGGGAGTATGGAATAACTTGAGAAAGCAAACATAAGCCTGACTTAGATTTGTGTGAACAATACCTAATACCCCAAACCCAAGGGTATATTAAACATGAGTTGGAATTTGAACTTTTAAAGATATTTTGGGGCTGGGTGCAGTGGCTCGAATGGTTGCTAATCCCAGCACTTTGGGAGGCCAAAGGGGGCAGATCGCTTGAACCCAGGAGTTTGAGACCAGCCTGGCAACATGGCAAACCCTGTCTCTACAAAGAAACAAAACAGAAAAAGATGGGCATGGTGGCATGTACTTGCAGTCCTAGCTATTCAGAGGGGCTGAAATGAGAGGATCTCTTGAACCTGGGAAGTCAAGGCTGTAGTGAGTCATGATTGCACCACTGCACTCCAGCCTGGGTGACAGAGTGAGACAGGGGGAAAAAAATTTCTGGAACATCAAGATGTTAAAGAACTTCTATGTTGAAAATGCCACAACTAATGAAGAATTCCTGTCTTGTGGATTCAGTGAAGAAGGACTAGGTGAATAATATGCAAACTAACATGGAATTATTTACTGATGTCTGAAGATGAGAGGTGGCTTTTTTCTGAGGTGCCAGGCTTTTGTAGTCTTTGCTCTCGACCTTTGCGGGGGTGGGGGGGGGGGGGGGGGGGGGGCGGGGGGGGGAGGTGGGCGGTGCAGAAGTTTGGAACACCTTGGGTGCAACCTTTTAATCCTTTGACAGTTGGGTGTCAGCAATACAGTTTGGATTAAAGTTCTTATTCACGAAGAAGCATGCAGCTTTTAATAGACTTCTCAGCAAACAAAATATTTATGTGATCAAGACTGTGTGGAAAATAGTATTTAGAGAAATAGTGGTGAAATGAGTGAGATAAATGGAGGACAATTTCCAGCAAGTAATGGTAAAGAAAGATTGAGGGCCAAAGGAGGAAAAGATGCTTAAGAAGCAATTCTTAAAGTAGATGGAAGGCGGAAGTAGTAAGATAGCTGTCTGTACTACAGGAGGCTAGACAAAATTATTTTGTACTGCCTTGGTCCTGGGCTTGAAATTATAGCAGGCCACAGCACCCAATATTGAATTGCTGCCCCAAAGCTGCATCTGTATAGTGAGATGACATAAAGACTCTTAATCCATGTATGTTTCAACAATTCTAAATGGACACATTTAATAGTCAACTAATAATAATATTGACCTTCTCTCCTACATAGAGTATGTGCACAAGATAATTCTATACTCGAATTATTCCCCCCTGAGCCCAACACTGTAAGTAATCTAACAGTGAGACAGTTTCTCTTAAGAAAAACAAACAGGCTTGGGTTCAAATCTTAACTCTACCATATATCTGTCCTTTGACATAGCTTCTCTGACCCTCAATTTCCTTGTCTGCAAAATAGAGATAATAACTATCTCCTAAGACTATTGAGGATTAAAGAGCTAATACATGTAAAGCATCTAGTGTATTAGTAAGTGCTCAATAAATGATGGTTTCATTACCTTGAGTTAATTTTAGGGCTGATTGTAGCTGTCAGTCTGTATCAAGCAGGTCTGTGAGGAAGACTGAGGTTAGGAGGTAAGCTAAACCTCTGTTCTTGTTCCCTCTTACTTGTGCAGGTACCTGGCATATACAAATACTGGGCTTTCCTCTCAGACCAAACCGAGGATTATATCAACTAGTTAGAGGCACTGTGGTTTACCGCCATCACCTCCAACTAACTGGCTTCAATCTCTCCTGCCATGTGGAGCCCTGGGCTCAGAAAAGCCCAACCAAACACTTTCTTTCCTCAGAAGGAGGTTCCTCAAACCCTTCCCTGATGTCTAACGCTTGGAAAGAGATGGATATCACACAACATGTTCAGCAAAGGTTCTGGAATAACAAGAGACAGAGGATCCTAAGACTCCGTTTTATGTGTCAGCAGCAAAAAGATAGTGTTGGTCTTGAGCTCTGGCGTGGCACTTCATCCTTGGACATTGCCTTCTTGTTACTCTATTTCAATGATACTCATAAAAGCATTCAGAAAGCTAAACTTCTTCCCATGGGCATGGAGGAGATCATGGAAAGGGAATCCCCTCTTCTACGGAGAACCCGACAAGCAGGCAGTATCTCAGCTGAGGCTACCGCCTCTTCCTTGAAAGACAGTGAGCCTGAAAATAACCAGTGTTCCCTCCACCCTTTCCAAGTCAGCTTCCGCCAGCTTGGCTGGGATCACTGGATCATTGCTCCCTCATTCTACACCCCGAACTACTGTAAAGGAACTTGTCTCCGAGTACTACGTGGTGATCTCAATTCCCCCAATCATGCCATTGTTCAGAACCTTGTCAATCAGCTGGTGGACCCGAGTGTCCCTCGGCCTTCCTGTGTCCCATATAAGTATGTTCCCATTAGCGTCCTTCTGATTGAGGCAAATGGGAGTATTTTGTATAAGGAGTATGAGGGTATGATTGCCGAGTCTTGTACATGCAGATGACAGCCAAAGCACAGATAGCTCAGGTTTCCCAGGAAATTGAAGAAGAGTTTAAAATATCAATGTTAAAACTGCAAGTGATCCTGTACCAATCTGTAGGTTATATTTCTTGCCTTGTTACTTAAGTCTCTTCCCCCACTTTGTGGAAATAGTTCTGATACCAGTCTCCTAGCATGAATCAGTACAGTTTGACCACTAGTCAGAGCCCTTAATGCTTGGATAAGATGTCCTCTATTTTGTTTTCCTTGGGGCTTTGTCAGAGTCAGCAGTCTGTAGTGGTAGAACTTCAGAAATTGTCCAACCTTTCCTAGCCTGGGAAAGGAGGGTTCTTCCCAGTGCCCATATTATCTGAAACACTAGAAGATTCGGGGTGGTGAAAATAGCTTGGGATTTTATACTCCTCTTCTTGCCTCCTATGTCCTAGAAACTACTGGTAGCTAATCAGATAAATTTCCTGCTTCTGTTTGCACTGCCTTCTAAACTTTTCTCAGACAGGCTGGATAATCTTCAGGTAACAGTCTTCATAGAAATCTTTTGAGGGAATAGAAGGAAGGAAATCTTTTTCTAAACCAGCAGGGATTTTCCTCTTAGCCCCTGAATCTGGGAAAAGCACCTGGGATTCTTTTCTGTCCTAAGTGAGTACAGTATCCTTTAAGGAAGCCCATAAGGAAACTACAGTATGAAACAGTCTGAGATGATAATCTACTTCAAAACCTGCATTTATGGTGAAGAAGAGAAAACCTGTCATTGTTGATTAGTATTATGAATGGGGGAATTATTTTAAGTATTCCATGGAACAATAGAGTTCAGGGCATTTTCCTCATGGGATGCTTAAAACCCTGTAAATTACCACATAAAGAAAGTTCCCAGGTGGCTCAGAGGCTAGGAGTTGGCCTGAGTGGGGGTGCAGGGGATTACAAGGCTGTGATGGAAGGACTATGGGATGAGGGTGAAACCTGCCAAGGCCTGGAGCTGACTTTATTCTGGGCTTGCCTGTTTTATGTGTTCAGTTTGGATCTGGACCCAGGTCCAGATCCCGAAATAAATGATGCTTGCAATTTGACTCATTTCTACTCCTATACTGTATTTAAATGATGGGACTGGGTTTTGTTGCAAATAGATCATTATTTTGTTGTTGAAGAAAATCTTGACTGTTGTTAGAATTGGGAGAGAGTGGAAGGAATTTATTTTCTTCGTTCCCTTTAGCTGAGGCTAGGAATTCAACCCTAATCCCTGAAGGGCAGGGCTGGAGCATCCTCAGAAGTTCTCTCTTAAGGAAACAATGTTAGCCATCAGCCCTCGCCAAGGTGTCCCTTTGGCGAAGCCCAGTAAGTCTGTCCCTACCCAATTGCTCTTGACTAGTCTTATGGCAATTCTCATGGGATAGGACTGATTTAGGGTAGGTATGTGTGTTTGTCAAATCCCTACATTTCTTACCTGTTAATTGTAAACTAACTCGCTTTAACACTCCCTTCAACAACTGGTTCCAGCTAGGCTGAATATCTTGCAAGTATATAAATACAAGTTTTATTTTTGTGACTGAGGAGCTGTTCCTTAACATCCATTTGCCTGTCTACCTTCTTTACTGTATCATTAAGGGTCAGCTCAGGCATTTCTCATCTTCTCAATGTCCCCTTGACACACCAGCCTCAGGTGTGTATTAAGTTTTCTATGTATTCAGAACTCACAAAGCTAGGAGATCATGACTTATTGAAAATCCCTAAGATCCAAGATGCTAAACTTAGGATCTGGTCTTATAACCAAGGTCCATCTTCAGCTAGACTGAGTATCTTGCAAGTCTCTATGTGTCCCTCTGTGTTCATATAGCACTTTGTACTTGCCTTTGATATACTCTAGTATAAATGTTTATTCTTGCAAAAAGATGGAGCCCCTTTTGAGGAGTTTCAACCGCATCTTGCCCTTTTCTATATTATAAGAGGTCCCTAATGAATACAAACATACAATTATGACTTTTTTGGTGAGCGATACATTCTTCCTGACATGAAACATCTCAATTTTCACGCATTTTATTTTTCCATGGGAATAAATATAAAATACTTTGCATATCAAGTAAGATGATTATTATATCCCACTATTTCAAAATCATGTTTTAAATCATAATAGAATATAACAGCGATATTAGGCAGTTTTTGTAATCATTATATATGCTGCAAATTGGTCTGAGAGAGGAACTATGGGCTTCCAGTCTAGCCATTTCCCCAGCCTAATTGGGGTAGTCACAAATATCTTAGAGGCCTGAAGACGGACCTTGATTATAGGACCAGATCCTGAGTTCAGCATCTTGGTTCTTAGGGATTTTCAGAAAGTCATGATCTCCTAACCTTGTGAGTGCTGAATATATAGGAAACTTAATTTGTTTATGGAGAGTTCAGGATTAATTGGCCTTATTATATACATTAAGCCCTGAGTTACCAGAATACCCAAAGAAAACACTGGCAGGATAGCGTTACTTGGTTACTTAGGATGATGTTATGAATTCTGTCTTTCTTTGAAATATTGCTTCCGTTCAGTACTTTTTCTCAAATCCAAGGTAAGAGTTCCGTACCTCAAGCCTTTCTCTGAGAGGAATAAGACATGCTTGCTAGTGGAGGAGGGTGATGGGTGGGGGTGGGGCCTGTCTGCCCATGTGGGTGGGGAGAAATGGTTACTTGATCTGGAAAGGGAAAGTAGGAAGCAAAGTCCACCTTGTCCCAACAATCCCAGTGAGTAAGCTAGAACATCATTTAATGTGTGGGTGCAAAAGGAGCAGGTGTAGGCATTTAAGCTTGTGTCTGATCGTGGATCTCGTTTGCATTTACCTTGGTAGTATGTCACAACCAATTCTGGGCAAAGTTGGGAAGCAGGCAGAGCTTAAGTTACACAAAATATTTGGCCTAATCTTATAAAACATTTCACGTCTTCAGTTAATTCTTCCAATAGCACTATGAAGTGTAGGAGGTATTAGTCTTATTTTTAAAAAACTGCCTCATTGAGGTGTAATTTACCATGAAAGCTACTATTTAAGGTGTATAATTCAGTGGTTTTCAGTATATTCACAGACCTGTGTACACATCACCACAATCTAATTTCACCACAAAAGAAACCTCATGCCTTTTAGTGGTCAATCCTCATTCCCCTAACCCTTACCACCAGCTCCTGACAGCCACGAATCTACTTTCTTTTTCTCTGGATTATGGACATTTAAACAAATAGAATCACAAGATATTTAGATTTTGTAACTGGCTGCTTTAGTACGTTTTCAAGATTCACCTGTGTTATAGCATATATCAGTGCTTTGTTTCTGTTGCTGATTAATATTCTATGGTAGGATATGTCAAACTTTTATTCATCAGTCTGATGGATCATTCAAGTTTCTATGTTTTGGCCATTATAAATAATCTTGCTGTGAATGTTCATGAGAAGTTTTTATATAGACACATATTTTCAGTCCTCTTGTATACACACCTAGGAGTAGAAAAGGTGAATCATATGGTATATTTAACATTTTGTGGAACTGCAAAACTATTTTCCAAAGTGCCTGTACCCTTTTATAATCCAGCAATGTATGAGGGTTCCAATTTCTCCACATCCTCATCAACACTCATTATTGGCTGCGTTTTATATTCTAGCCATATTGGTGGAAATGAAATGGTGCCTCCTTGTGGTTTTGATTTGCATTTCCCTAATGACTAATGACGTTGACCATCTTTCCATGTGCTTATTGGCAACTGGCACATCATCTTTGGATAAATGTCTATTCAAATCATGTGCCCAGTCTTAAATTGTATTGTCTCTTGTTGTGTTGTAAAAGTTCTTTATATATTTAAAATATTAATCTCTTATCAGAAGTATGATATACAAATATTTTCTGATTCTGTGGATTACCATTTCACTTTTTTGATGACATTCTTTGAACACAAAAGTTTTTAATTTGGAAGAAGTCCAGTTTATATTTTTTGCTGCTTGTGCTTCTGGTATCATTGGAGAAAAGTTGCATAATCCAAGGGTCATGAAAATTTACACCTATGTCTTTTTCTAAGTGTTTCACAGTTTTAGCTGTTATATTTAGGTTTTACATCTATTTTTGTTAATTTGTGCATCCTGTGTGAGGTGAAGCTCCAACTTCATTCTTTTGCATGTGGTTACACAGTTGTCCCAGCATCATTTATTGAAAAGATTAATCTTTCTTCATTGAATTGTCTTGGCACCTGTGTCAAAAAATGACCATAAATATAAGTTTGTTTCTGTACTCTCACGTTTATTCCATTGATCTATATATCTATTCTTATGCCAGGACAATACTGTCTTTATAACTGTAGATATAAGTTGTGAAATTGGGAAGTGTGAGATGGGTGTGTTTGCTCAGGCCTATAATCCCAGCACTTAGGGAGGCCAAGGCAGGTAGATCACTTGAGGCCAGGAGTTCAAGACCAGCCTAGCCAACAAGATGAAACCTCATCTCTACTTTAAAAAATACAAATGTTAGCCGAGTATGGTGGCACACGCCTGTAATTCCAGCTACTCGGGAGGCTGAGGCACAAGAATGACTTGAATCTGGGAGGCATAGATGGAAGTGAGCTGAGATAACACCACCTCACTCCAGCCTGGGTAATGGAGTGAGATCCTGTCTCAAAAACCAAAACAAAATAAAACAAAAATTGGAAAGTGAGACTCTTCCAAATGTTTTTATTCTTTATCAAGATTGTTTTGGCTATTCTGAGTCATTTGTATTTCCATATTAATTTTAGGGTCAGCTTTTCAATTTCTGCAAAAATACCAGCTGGATTTCTTTGATGGGGATTACACTGAATCTATAGACAACTTTGAATAGTATCGCCATTTTGACATTAAGTCTTCTGATCTGTAAATATGAGATATATTTTTATTTAGGGCCTCTTTAATTTTTTCAATGATGTTTTAGCATTTTCAGTATATGTCATAAATTTATTCCTAATTTTTAAAAATTATTTTTATGATATAAATGGAATTGTGTTCTACATTTTGTTAAATCAGACTGTTTATTACTAATGTATAGAA